TAGTATGCCTCACCTTTCCCCTCTCCGCCCCTCGTTCCCGCTATGCCCCAATCTCCCTCAGTCTGCCCCACTTGCCCTCTCTCTGCCCCAATCTCCCTCTCTTTCTCTTCCACCTCTCTGCCCCTCCTTCCTTGTCTCTGCCCCGAATTCACTCTTTCAGCACCACTACCCCTCTCTCCACCCTGCTTTCCTCCTCCGCCCTCTACACCACGCATTCCTCCATCCTTGCGCCTCTGTCCATATCGCTACCCTACATTACACTTCCTATGCATATCTTTCTCTCTCTAACGCGCATTCCCTTCTCTGCCCTGTCCCTCCCTCTGCCCCCCTGTCGCCCTCTAACCCGCTTTCCGCTATCCCTCCTTCCATCCATCCGCCCCTCCTTCCCTCTGTCTGTCCCAAATTACCGCTCTCTGACCATCCTCACCTCCCACTGCCCCACTCTTCTCTCACTCTGCCTCCAACACGCTTCAATATGCCCCTCTTGCCTCTTCTTCGCCCTCATACACATATCTTTGTCCCTACGTCCACCCGTGTGCCCCTCCTTTCCTCTGGCTACCCCTCCTTCCATCTCTCTGCCCCGAATTCCCTCACTCTGCTCCACTTTTCCTCTCCCTGCCCCACTCTCCCTCTCTCTTAGTGCCACTTTCCCTCTCGCTGCCCCTTGTTCACTCTCTCTGCCTCTGGTTCCCCCTCGATGCTCCTTTCTCTTGCACCTATGACTCTCGCACCACTGGGGGAAGAGGGAAACTTACTTGAGAAGTATCTTTCGTTCTGAGGGTTTCAATTTCTTTACGAGGCACCTTATTGCATGAATTTACCTTACGAAGTGTGTAGAATACTTCTTCTTCAGACGGGTCAATTCCTTCTTGGTTTCCGCTCCCTCCATGTTCTTGTACACAACCTTCTGATCTCGCACGGTGCGTGGAACGATCTCGTCATCCACGTCCCGAAGATTATCCCTCGTAACCATGCAGATGGAGCAAGGTCGGAAAGAGCTACATGACATGGTGCATGAGACCTTGTTAAACTCGGGATGGTCGTTCACGACCGAGTACAGCAGCGGGATGGCCACGTACTCGACCCCATTGCTGTCCTCGACCTTCAAGCCTCGGCTGCGCGACCAAACATAAAACCATGCCATGGTGGTGGCTTGGTGGTGAGGAAATCAGGCTGGTAGCATGTAAGGCATGTTCATATTGGTTGTGCGTTACGGAACTGAAACGATTGGGAAACGGATGATTGGATACTAACAACCCACACTGAATGGGGCAGCAAATAAAATATGCACTCCATACAACCCCCCTTACACCATACATGGCAAGGAGGCTTCACAAACCGGTCACAGTTTGTCCCAGACTGTGAAGCACAATACACTCAAACTGCGGTTTACACCCTTCAAGCATCCGCGGGTGATCGTCCTCTTGTCACCTTGTCCTGCCACAGGGTAAAGGATCAACACGGCGGCACGCCTCAGATTCCCATCACCATGCTCCGGCATTCCGACCGTGTGCAATTGTGTTGCTGTACTATTTGCTCGTGCCATCGCCCAACCTTATCCGTGCTGTCCGAGAGTCTCGCCCAACCATCTTCTCCTCTCGCGAGTCCATCAGCGTCGGTTCCACCTCGTTCGTGCAGGCGCTGACGCGCGAAAGAGTGGTGGCGTGTGGCGGTATTAGCAGCAGCATGGGGAAGGGAAAAGCCGTGCGTGCGCTGCTCGCCGTCGTAGTCATCATGGCACCTGACGGCGAGCCCAAGGCACCCGACAGCAACAACAATCCACCTGTCATCGCAGCGTCATCACCTTGGGAGTACCCCGACTCAGATGGTTTATTGAGTAAGCCCCAATGCTTGTTCTTATCCTGCCATCCATTGACGCTGAATCTGATCTGAGCTGCCGCGCCAGGGGTTGTTGTGGGGAGCTGGCCTCACCCCTGGCCACAGGGACTGTTGTTTGATCGATTGATTACCCATATTGCCAATTTTTATGCTTTTTTTGTCTTCTCTTCCTGCCTGCCTGCCTATCCTTAGCGTCCCCTGAATGGGGTTCCTAGCCGCTGCTGTGGCCAGCAGCTTCAGAAACGCCGTCGTGGGGGGCGTGTTGTTAAGATAGTAAGCATAGTGAGGAGCCGTAGCTAGGGTTAGCTAGCTAGGCAAGAGAGAAATGAAGAAAGGAGGGTTTCACTAGCAGCAGTTGGGATACATATAGCAAACCCTAACAGGGTTGTACTCGCTATAGAGCACCCCACTACAGGCTAGATAATAACATTCTGACACACCCCCATAGCCAAAGTGGGGTGTAATCAGCAGAGCACACAATCATAGAGCAGGTTCACAATGGCAAGCAAAGCTAGAGGCTATCACAGAGGGCAAGTGAGGAGGAGGAGAGTACTGTGGACGGAGAGAAGATGGGAGGCAACGATTGAAGCTGCAGAGGCACGGGCACAGAAGCGGCTGACTCAGTGGCTACCAAAGCAAGGGCGACACCACGGGGCAGCGAGGGGCCGCGCGCGGCTCCCCAGGGCGCCGCGACGTGAGGGGCAGGGGCCGCGCGCGGCTCCCCAGGGCGCCGCGACGTGAGGGGCGGGGGCCGCGCGTGCTCCCCAGGGCGCCGCGACGAGCAGGGCGGGGGCCGCGCGTGCTCCCCAGGGCGCCGCGACGAGCAGGGCGGGGGCTGCGCATGCTCCCCAAGGAAGGAAACCGCCGCGTGCCTCGGGGCGCACGGCGGGCAGAAAACCGCCGCGCGCCCCGAGCGCACGGTGGAAAGAAAAACCGACAAAAAAAATAGGAAGGAGGAGTCGCACGCCACGGGGCGTGCAACAGACAGAGTAGCAGCGGAAGCAGTTCGGTGGGCCCACAGGCCAGGAGCGTAGATGCTCTGATAGCATGTTAAGATAGTAAGCATAGTGAGGAGCCATAGCTAGGGTTAGCTAGCTAGGCAAGAGAGAAATGAAGAAAGGAGGGTTTCACTAGCAGCAGTTGGGATACATATAGCAAACCCTAACAGGGTTGTACTCGATATAGAGCACCCCACTACAGGCTAGATAATAACATTCTGACACGTGTTTGCCCCGTAGGTCTCGACGGCCAGGGCGCAGAACACCACGTGTTCGGTGTGCCTGTAGTAGTCCGTCTCCTTCCGCCTCTGTGCCTCCCTTGCAGCCCAGCCTGGGGGTTTGCGGGCTGTGGGGTCCCGATTCTGCAGCACAGGGTCAGTGATCGTGGTGTCTGTGATCCAGCTCTCTCCCTCTCTCTCGTCCTATCCCACTCCCACAGCCTCTTTCTCTATTACGACTTCTCCCTCTCGTGAATACCTGGTATTTATTCACTTTATTCTCACTATATTCTCACCATATTCTTTACATCAGCATCTACATGGCGCTGGCGCCCTTGAATCTTGTAATTTACCACCCAGAAGCCCCTCGGTTGGTTTTTAAGATATGCTAGCCACTTACAATTAATGGACATAATCATGATCGGTCATTTCCCTGCCTTTACCATTGGGGAAACAAGGATTGTTTTGAATCTGAATTCTCCTTTTGACTTCAAAAGTATGTATTAACTCGTCCTTAACCTCTCCGTAAAATCAGCAAATTTCAGCACTAGCTCAGAATGTTATATTCAAATTATGATGTCTATAGCCCCTCATACACCTTCCCTACCTCACCCTCTGTCTCACCCTCTCCCTATCTCACCCCCTCCCGCTCTCTCACCCTCTCCCTCTCTCACCCTCGTCATCTCTCTCATGCACTCCCTCTCTCTCACACTCTCCCTCTCTTTCACACTCTCCCACTCTCCCACACTCTCCCTGTCTCACTTGCTCTTCTCTAGGATATCAAATGCTCCAAGCTTCTTCCCAAAGATCGCGAACTGGCTGTGCATGAGCTTCTACCGCCTTGCTCTGCCTTCTACTACTTCCAGCCGGTGAGTGTCACACGAATAACTCCAAGTCGTACTTTCTATGGGAGCATATTGCATGCAGCAAGTGTGGATAACTGGGACCATGTGCTGCTTTGTGCTGCCATGTGGTGCTGTGTCCTGTCCATGTGCTGCCACGTGCTTAGCGGCGTCCCCATGCGGAGCTTCTTCAATCGGCCTCCCTCCATGGGTTGCTTAAGAAGAAAGGGACCGCTTGCTTCTCCTCAGTCCTTTCTTGCCCCAAGCATTCCCTCGACCCCCATGTGCCTCTCCATGGTGGGACCAGAGAGCGTGTCCTTGATGGCCCCCTTTGACCACCTCTTTCCTTCTCAACCGCCCTTTCTTTTATTCCCTGATTGTTTTTCCTTCCGCAGGGCAACACATGACCCCTGTGGCTGAATCTCTCGGCACTCCGAGGAAAGCTTGAAGGATCTCAACCCTGGGGCTAGCTGCTCCTCTTGCCTCCCTGCGTTCCGATCTCTGTGTGTGGAGCGCGACCCAACCAAGGCCTGGTCGCGCTGTGTGAAAACGACATTGCTGGACGGAGCGGTGGACTTCAAGAAGGTTGCGGCATCCCATGGAATCACCACGGTGGACCTCTGCAGGCTCAACCCGTGGCTGTCCTTCCGCGATCCCCGGTGCGCCATCTTCGATGGTGATAGTGTGAGTTTGGGCAATGGGCACATCTATTGCGAGGAGTGCAATGGTCTACATGCTTGCAATGCGCTGCACTGCCCACACGTGCCGTTTGCATAAAAAATTTCCAATGCTTTATTGGTTGCAGCGTTGCGTTGCTGCGCAATACAAGTGAGCGCCACTTGACAGTCACATGCATCCACGTCCACAGCTTTGGAGGGAGCAACGAAAAAATTGACTTGTGCAGCGGCGGTGGTGGAGTGGAGAAGCTGCCTGCTTGGATGGACTCTGCTGCATTGAAGTCACTGCTGCATTGGCTTCATTTTCCACAAGTTACACCACATTGAAGCAATTTTTTTTCAAAGTGTCCCTAGTGGCCTTTAACTCATTGAGGGACCAAGTATTAAATTGAATCGGAACACAAAACAACAGAAGTGCATGGCGGACTAGATGTCGAGCATGCCAGCTGCTGCCATCCTGCTTCCCACAGTCTGAATCAACTCTTTACGCGGCCCCACCTGCACACCACACACAATTGCCAGACAGAACACACGGTGTGAGACGCCAAAGCGGTTGAACCTTTGGGGAGGCATGCAGATGAGTAGTGAAGGGCATGCATCAGTGCAAGCAGACGGATGGTGATGATACACTGCCTTTTCTGGAAGAACACATTATTTTTCACCACAACTTGGCTGTATTGTGAACGAGGTGATGAGAAGCAGGAGGTGAGAAGCAGGAGGTGAGAAGCAGGAGGCGGCGAAGAGTGTCACTCACACTTCACCATGACCGCACCTTATCCCCCATGACCGCACCTCATCCCCCATGACCGCACCTCATCCCCCATGACTGTACCTTATCTCCCATGACCGCACCTTATCCCCCATGACCGCACCTTATCCCCCATGACTGCACCTTATCCCCCATGACCGCACCTTATCCCCCATGACCGCATCTTATCCCCCATGAGCGCACCTTATCCCCCAAGACCGCACCTTATCCCTCATGACCGCACCTTATCCCCCATGAGCGCACCTTATCCCCCATGACCGCACCTTATCCCCCATGACCGCACCTTATCCCCCATGACCGCACCTTATCCCCCATGACCGCACCTTATCCCCCATGACCGCACCTTATCCCCCATGACCGCACCTTATCCCCCATGACTGCACCTTATCCCCCATGACCCGCACCTTATCCCCCATGACCGCACCTTATCCCCCATGACTGCACCTTATCCCCCATGACTGCACCTTATCCCCCATGACCGCACCTTATCCCCCATGACCGCACCTTATCCCCCATGGCCGCACCTTATCCCCCATGAGCGCACCTTATCCCCCAAGACCGCACCTTATCCCTCATGACCGCACCTTATCCCCCATGAGCGCACCTTATCCCCCATGACCGCACCTTATCCCCCATGAGCGCACCTTATCCCCCATGACCGCACCTTATCCCCCATGACCGCACCTTATCCCCCATGACCACACCTTATCCCCCATGACCGCACCTTATCCCCCATGACCGCACCTTATCCCCCATGACCGCACCTTATCCCCCATGACCGCACCTTATCCCCCATGACCGCACCTTATCCCCCATGACCGCACCTTATCCCCCATGACCGCACCTTATCCCCCATGACCGCACCTTATCCCCCATGACCGTACCTTATCCCCCATGAGCGCACCTTATCCCCCATGAGCGCACCTTATCCCCCATGAGCGCACCTTATCCCCCATGAGCGCACCTTATCCCCCATGAGCGCACCTTATCCCCCATGACCGCACCTTATCCCCCATGAGCACGGAGAGGGTGACACTGGCCTGCGCCGCCTCCTCCACAGTAATGAGCTTCAGCCGCCTCTGGCTGGGGTCCAGTGTCGTCTCCCACAGCTGTGCCGGCATCATCTCGCCCAGGCCTGAGGGGTGAGGGGCATTGGGTAGCGGGCAGAGGGAGGCAGAGCGAGGACGTGAAAAGAGAATATTTCTGTGAGGCAATGCTGTGAGGCAATGCTGTGAGGCAATGCTGTGAGGCAATGCTGTGAGGCAATGCTGTGAGGCAATGCTGTGAGGCAATGCTGTGAGGCAATGCTGTGAGGCAATGCTGTGAGGCAATGCTGTGAGGCAATGCTGTGAGGCAATGCTGTGAGGCAATGCTGTGAGGCAATGCTGTGAGGCAATGCTGTGAGGCAATGCTGTGAGGCAATGCTGTGAGGCAATGCTGTGAGGCAATGCTGTGAGGCAATGCTGTGAGGCAATGCTGTGAGGCAATGCTGTGAGGCAATGCTGTGAGGCAATGCTGTGAGGCAATGCTGTGAGGCAATGCTGTGAGGCAATGCTGTGAGGCAATGCTGTGAGGCAATGCTGTGAGGCAATGCTGTGAGGCAATGCTGGCTGGAGTCGTCTCCCAAAGCAACGTCTCACATTTCCTCCCCTTATTAAAGGAACGCACCTGCAAAAGGAACAAACCTTAGAAAGTAACACACCTCCAAAAGGAACACACATTCTAAAAGGGCGCACCTTTGAAGCGCTGGATGGTGGGGGACGCGGAGGCGGGCAGCGAGCGCAGGTGCGCCTGCAGCTCCGCCTCGCTGTAGCAGTACACTGGCGCCTGGCGCCCCACCTCCACCTGCATGGGTGTGAGTGAATTGGAGGATGAGAGGGGCTGGATGAACGCGAGAGGATGACAGACATGAGTGAGGTAAGGGATGGCGTTCTTTGAGGTACAGATAGGGATGAGCATAGGGACCCGGCGGGTCGGGTCGACCCGACCCGACCCGGGTTTTGACCCGGGTCGGGTCAGGAGTTCTGAACCACTGACCCGGCCGGGTCGGGTCGGGTATACCCGGCCGGGTCGGGTAGACCCGTGACCCGATTCCGGGTCGGGTCGGGTCGGGTCGGGTTTTGACCTGATTATGGACTCGACCCGGTTTCGGGTACCGCGCCCTATCTCGGGTTGGATATCTGGCCCGACCCGAGGGTTTCCTCTCGACAATGTTATCCAGATCGCAATCGCGCTTGCTTGTTTTCCCAGCAACTAGCATTTCGATCTGGATTAAGTTAGGTTAACTAGCTAGTGACGCCAGCAGCCACCCACCAAGCAACATTGGCGTACTAATCTACCCTAGAACCCACGATAATGTTTAGTTAGTACTCAGCCAATCGCACTTCGCACTTCGCGCCATCCATCCTAGGGTTTCTTTTGAATCCGAAATTTATAGGTCGCGCTCCCACCCTAGGCGCGCGCATTGCAGGCCCGCGTTTTAGGGCATCTCGGCGCGCCGTGCAGGCGCAGGTCGCTAGACCCGCGCCCCTACGCATTATTAAGGAGAACCTCTAACCCTGCCTATGGGAGTCGGCCCGACCCGACCCGACCCGGCTCCGACCCGACCCGACCCGACCCGGCCCCGACCCGACCCGACCCGGGGGCGGGTCAAGCCTGACCCGGCACCTGATACCCGGGTCGGGCCAGAGATCTCAAAAGTTCCGACCCGACCCGACCCGACCCGGAACCCGGCTGGCCCGCCAAAGTCGGGTCGGGTCGGGTCGGGTCGGGTCATTTGGTCATAGGTACAGAGAGGGCTGATAGAATTCAAGAGTAGTTGAATAATGAGCCATGGAGGCTCTATAGTACAAGCATGCAAGCAAGAGAGGGGTGAAGAAGGAGCAAACCCTATTGGCCACTAAGTTGGCCAATGGGGGAGATGCCTTGTGGAGTAGGTAACCCCACAATGTTGCTAGGTTGTGATTGGTAGGCCTTAGGACCAAAAGTTAGCAAGTGCCAACCAAGGACCAAGACCAAACCCAACCTTGACCAACCACAAAATGTGGTTGGAGTGTACACCCAACCCCCCAAGAACATAAAGAGCTACACCATTCTAGCCTATGTATGTTGTGTATAAGATACAGTTACAACACAACCCCCCAACAGGCATAAGGCTAGAAAATGGAATCAGGAGGCCGCCAAAACCGGAGGAGGGGTGAGGCCAAGGAGGCGCAGAAGGAAGGAGTGGGACGCCTGGGGAAGGGCTTTGGTGAAGATGTCAGCGAGGTTGGCCGCCGAGTCGATTTTGCCAAGGCGAAGATGGCCGGCCTCAACGAGTTCACGAATGAAAAAGTAGCGGAGCTCAATGTGTTTGGAGCGCCCATGATACACAGCATCCTTGGTGAGGTGGATGGTGCTAGCGTTGTCACACCAGATGGTGGGACAGCGTTGGGGGGCTCCAAGCTCATCAAGGAGGAAGGTGAGCCAGCGCGCCTCCTGCGCGGCCATGGTTGCAGCGTAGAGCTCTGCCTTGCAGGAGGAGAGGGCGACGGCAGAGGAGCGTGTGGACCGCCAGCTGATGAGGCCGCTGCCCAGAGAGAAGCCATAACCCTGAGAGGACCGCCGATCCGGTCGAGAGTCAGCCCAGGAAGAGTCGCTGTAGCCGTGGAGGAGGGGTGGGGAAGGGCCGCCAAGGGTAAGGACATAGTCCTTGGTGCCACGAATGTAGCGAAGAACGCGCTTGGCGGCCTGCCAGTGCTCCTCCATATGCTTGCCAGCGCCAACGAAGCGAGCGAGGACGCTGATGGGGTAGGCAAGGTCAGGGCGAGTAGAGACCATGGCGTACATGAGAGAGCCGATGAGTTCAGGATAAGGATGGGAGGAGGGAGAGGGAGAGGAGGGTGGGGAGAGGTGGTGCCCGACCGAAAGGGGAGTGGGCTGGGGGTTACCGCGCGCCATTGCAAACCGTTCTAAGACCTGCTGGAGGTAGTGGCCCTGAGAGAGAGAGATGGTGCGGGCGGAGCGGTCGCGAGTGATGGTCATGCCGAGGTAGTGCTGCAGCTCTCCCAGGTCTTTGCACTTGAGACGGCTGCCCAGCTCCGTCTTGACAGTCTCGAGCTCGGCAGGATCGGCAGTGAGAAGAATCATATCGTCAACATAGACGAGGATGTAGAAGGGGGAGGGGGAGGTGCGGAGGAAGAGGCTGGCGTCAGAGCGGGAGGTGCGAAACCCAAGCTCGACAAGGGTGGCAGCAAGCTTGGCATGCCATTCCCTGGGAGCCTGGCGGAGCCCATACACTGGGCGGCGCAGCTGCCAGACAGAGTCAGCGGGGAAGGGGAGGTGGAAGCCCGCTGGGCGCTCCATGTAGATCAGTTCACGTAGTACGCCTTGCAGGAAGGCGTTGGAGACATCCATCGAGTGGATCTCCATGTTGAGGCGAGCGGCGAGGTCGAGGACGGCACGAACGGTAGCAGGTTTGGCGGTGGGGGAGAAGGTGTCGAAGAAGTCAAAGCCATACCGCTGCGTGAAGCCCTTGGCGCAATACCGGGCCTTGTAGACGGGCGGTTCTCCTGGCAGCTGCTTGACGCGAAACACCCACTTCCCCTTGACCACGTTCGTAGAGGGGGGAGGGCGAGGCACATCAACGAAGGAGGAGTTGGCAATAAACGCCTCGAGCTCCTTGATGATGGCGGCGAGCCAGAGCGGGGCGTCGGGACAAGCCATGGCCTCCTCATACGTGGTTGGGATGAAGGTGGAGGGTGCGGAGGAAAAGGCGAAGACTGGTGTTCCAGAGAGGTCAGAGGTGATGGGAAGGAGGGAGGGGTCAGAGAGGTGGAGGTCAAGGAACTCCTCATGGGAGTCCTCAGAGAGGGAGGTGTGGAAGGCGCGGATGACCGCAGGTGCCGCTGCTGGTGCCACTGTTGGTGCCGCCGCTGCTGGTGCCGCTGCCGAGGCCGCCGCTGCCGCTGCACTCGCCGCTGCTGGTGCCGTTGCACTTGCCGCTGCTGGTGCCGCTGCTGGTGCCGCTGCGGTGGCTGCTGCTGGAGCTGCTGCTGCTGCCGCTGCTGGAGAGGTAGTAGAGGGGGCGGGTGCATGAGGGGCTTGATGCAGGACAGCCTGGAAGAAGTGGTGAAGAAGGGGGGAAAGAGGGGGGAGGGTAGAGGTAGAGAGGGTAACAGGGGGCGGTGCACCAAGAATACCGTCGCATGACCTGGTGTGAGGATACCGGGTGAGTGTGGTGCGGGGAGGGGGGGAGGGAGGCGAGGGTTGGGAGGGAGGGGGAGGAGGGGCACCAGGGGAGGAGTGAGCGGGGGAGACAGGGGAAGACAGGGGGTCCGGGTCAAAGATGTCACCAGACGAGGGAGGGGCACCGTGGGACTGGGGGGGCGGTGGGGAAGGGGGTGGGAGGATGGGGGGAGGAGGGAGGAGAGGGGGAGGGGTGGTGTCAGACCAGACAAGGGGACGAGTCAGAGGTGGGAGTGGGTCAGTGGACGGAGGAGAGGAATAGTATGGGGTGGATTCGTCAAAGACGACATCCCTGCTGCGAATTAGTCGACCGGAGGGGGGGTGGAGGAAAAGATAGTCGGGGGAAGAGGGGTTATGAACAAGGAAGATGCAGGGAAGGGTACGAGGGGCAAGTTTTCCTAGGGAACGGGATCGGTCAGATGGGTGAATGAGGACATATGCCTTTGAGCCCCAGACCCGAAGAGGGGAGACATCGGGTTTGTCCTTTGTCCATAGCTCAGTGGGGGTGGTGGAGGGGAGGAGGGGGTGAGGGTAAAGGTTAGTAAGGAGGGCGGCATGAAGGAGGGCGTAGCCCCACAGAGAAGGGGGGCAGGAGGCGTGGACAAGGAGACACCGAGCCGTTTTGGTGATCTCCCAAACACGGCTCTCAGCGACACCGTTCTGCTGTGGGGAGTGAGGGAGGGTGTAAGTCTGAAGAATGCCGCGGGACTGGCAATAGGAGGAGATCTGGTTGTTAAGGAACTCACCACCACCATCAGAGTGGAGGCGGCGAACAGGGCGCCCAAAGTGGGTGTTTGCCTGTTCGAGCCAGGCAATGATCGCAGTCGGGGCGTCCGCCTTCGTCCGAAGGAGAGAGACGGACGAGTACCGACTGTGATCATCGACGAGCACGAGGAGGTAGCGATGGCCTTGGCGAGTGGGGGAGGGGTTAGGGCCCCAGAGGTCCATGTGAACAAGATCAAGTGGCTGGGCTGCAGCGGAGGGGGAGCTCCAGTGCGGCTGCTGCTTGAGCTTGCTCTGAACACAGACGACGCAAGGGGGGGCAGGGGACTTTGGGAGGGGAGGGAGGGAGGAGGGGAGACCGTGGAGGAGACCGGAGGATGCAGAGGAGCGCAGAGTGGCGAAGTTGGGGTGACCTAGCCTGTGATGGAGGAGGATAGCAGGGTGGGAGAGGGAGCGACATGAGCAGTCAGAGTCAGGGGGGCGGGGGGGGACGGGTGGGTTAGTGGGAGGGAGGGGAGGAGGGGGGGGGAGGCAACTTGGAAGGTGAAGGGGCGAGGAACCCGAAGGGTGTATAGACGGGAGCGGTGACAGTAGGGAATGCGGGCGAGGAAGCGACCTGTGGAGGTTTGGAAAAGGTCACAATGGTTAGCACCTCCTGGGGTGACAGTGGTGATCATGGATTGTTGGAGGGACCTTTGGGAAAGGAGGTTAGTGCGAAGGGAGGGAATGTGAAGACCTGTGACGGTACCTGAGGGAAAGAGAGGACAGGGAAGGGTGGACGTGTTGTGACAGGGGGTGGAAAAGCTGCTGTCAGCGCCGAGGAGGGACGTGGGTGTGGGGAGAGGATGGAGTTTGCCAGCATCGCGAAAGACATTGTCAGTGGCTCCACTATCCAGGACGAACTCAAGGGTGGAGGAGGGTGAGGCGGAGTACTGAATGGAAGTTTCATTAGTAGCAGGGGCATACATAGGGGATGCAACAGAGGGAGGCTGACTAAGCAGACCAACAAAGCCAGAGGAGGGAAAGGGGGTCACACTACCACCTGTGGACGGCGCAGGGGAGGGACCGGAGAGGTGGGCCGCAGAGGCTGCATTCCCAGCGGTCCAGCCGGGAAACGGTTGCTGCTGGGGGACAGGAGGAGGAGGGAGGAGAGGAAGCTGGGGCTGGAGGTCGAGCTGCTGCTGGAGCTGCTGAAGCTGCTGCTGGAGCTGCTGAAGCTGCTGCCCGTACTGCTGCGGTCCCTGCTGTTGTACACTCTGCTGCTGCTGCTGCTGCTGCTGCTGCTGAGAGGGGAGAGCAAAGGCCTGGTGGGCCTGGGAGGAGGAGGAAGGAGCGTAGAGGGGAGAGGTGCGAACGTCGAGGGGAGTGGGGCGGGGATTAAGGGCGGACCAGCGAGGAGGGGTGCCAGAGTTCCCACGAGCGAACCACTCATCGCTGAGTGCCTTAAAGCACGTCTCAGTTGCATGAGTGGTTTGGTTGCAGCGTTGGCCTCGGGTGGGGCCATAAAGGGGAAGATACTGACAGGGTGGGAAGGCCGCTGCTGCACCACGACCCGCACCACCACGACCGCCAGAGCCGCCTCGACCACCTCCACGCCCACCTCCACGCCCCCCTCCACGTCCGCCTTTGCTGCTGCGCTGCTGTGCTACCGCGGCAGTGGAGGAGTAGTGGCGAAGGATTTCTGCCTCGGTGGTGATAATCCACTGGGCAACTTGAGCGGGAGTGTCATGTTTGGAGAGGAGTTGCATATAGGCCAGCTTGTGGGCATCGAAGGCAGGAGTGAGGCCTTCGAGGAGGTGGCAGCAGATGACGGTGTCAGGGTAGGTAACACCAAGTGCTGCAAGGCGGCGAGCAAGGTCAAGGACGCGGCGAGTAAAGGCGGCTGCGCCGGCAGTGGAATCCATGGTGATGGATCCAAAGTCCTTGATGAGGGCATAGAGGGTGGCGATGTCCTGCCGGTCAAAGAGGTCGACAAGCAGTTGCCACAGGTGGGAGGAGGAGGTGGGTGAGAGTTCTCGCTTGAGGGAGGAGGGGATAGTGGCGAGGAGGATGGCGAGAGCTCGACGGTCAGCAATGCGCCACGCAGCGATGTCGGAGGTGTAGCTAGCGAGGCGTGTAGTGTACGTGGTGAGTTGGGCGTGGTAGTCGCGGTGACGGGCAGCAGCCTCGTCGTAGGCGCGCTTGTCGTCCTCATAGCGCAGTTGACGGCGAAGGTGGTCGTTGAGTGTGTTGCGGTAGGCACGGATGGCAGTTTCCACGCTTTGAGGATTGTTGACATCCGGTGCGAAGGAGGGAGGATCACCAGGGGACTCGGGCTCAGGTCCGGGCTCATCAGGAGGAGGTCCGGTGGGGGCAGAAGGGGCGATGGGCTGGAGTCCGCCTTCCTCCTGGAACACGACGGAGCGGAGTGTATAACCACTGACGATGACCGAGGAGAGCAACACCTCGACGGAGTGAGCATAGGAGTGCCAGTTGGCGGCCGAGTTGTCGCCGAGCAGCTCGAGGGCGTCAATGGTCGCTAGATCGACCGAGGAGTCGGATGACGCCATGATGGCGGAGGGGTGAAGGCGCCGCTGCTGCTGTTGGTATTGGTGCCGCCGCTGCTGCTGCCGCCGCCGATGCCGCTGCTGCTGCCGCCGCCGATGCCGCTGCTGCTGCCGCCGCCGATGCCGCTGCTGCTGCCGCCGCCGATGCCGCTGCAGCTGCCGCCGCCGATGCCGCTGCTGCTGGTGCCGTTAGGGGTGGAGTAGGGGGAGGAGGTAGAGGGGAAGAGAGGCTGGTGCGGAAGTGCGGGGAGGTATTAGGGTTTCGAGGTCGTGGAGATCGCGGGCAGGCGAACGCGACGGCGGGCAGATCAGCCGCGGCTGCGCGCCAGCCGTCCACGTCGGCGCAGGGGCGTCGACGGCCGCGCGCTGGCCGTCCGCGGTGGCGCGCGGTTCTTTCGTGGCCGCGCGCTGGCTGTCCGCGTCAGCACGCGGCTCGTTGGCGGGGCCGCGCTGGCAGTCCGCGTCAGCGCGCGGGTCGTCGGCGGGGCCGCGCTGGCCGTCCGCGTCAGCGCGCGGGTCGTCGACGGGGCCGCGCTGGCCGTCCGCGTCAGCGCGCGGGTCGTCGGCGGAGCCGCGCTGGCCGTCCGCGTCAGCGCGCGGGTCGTCGGCGGGGCCGCGCTGGCCGTCCGCGTCAGCGCGCGGGCCGTCGGCGAGGCCGCGCTGGCCGTCCGCGGCAGCGCGCTGGTCGTCGGGGGTCGCGCGCTGGCCGTCCGCGGCGGTCGCAGGTCGTCCGCGTCGCCGCGCTGGTCGTCCGCGTCGGCGCGGAGGTCGGACGCGTCGGCGGGCAGATGGAGGCGTGGCGGCGGGAGGAAGGATTGCTGCCACGGCGGAGCGGATAGGGGCTGCGGGAGGGAGGATAGAGGCCGCGGGAGGGAGGATTGAGGCCGCGGAGGAGGAGATCTACGCCGCGGAACGCTAGATCTGAGGTGCGGGAGGCGGAACTGAGCCGCGGGAGGCGGAACTGAGCCGCGGGAGGCTAGATCTGAGGAGCGGGTGGGCGGATGTAGGCATAGTCCGCTAGGGTAAGGGAGCGGGGAGGGAATTACAACATGAGGATCGAGGGAAGGTGGCGTGAGCCATTTGGCTCTGAATACCATGATAGAATTCAAGAGTAGTTGAATAATGAGCCATGGAGGCTCTATAGTACAAGCATGCAAGCAAGAGAGGGGTGAAGAAGGAGCAAACCCTATTGGCCACTAAGTTGGCCAATGGGGGAGATGCCTTGTGGAGTAGGTAACCCCACAATGTTGCTAGGTTGTGATTGGTAGGCCTTAGGACCAAAAGTTAGCAAGTGCCAACCAAGGACCAAGACCAAACCCAACCTTGACCAACAACCACAAAATGTGGTTGGAGTGTACACCCAACCCCCCAAGAACATAAAGAGCTACACCATTCTAGCCTATGTATGTTGTGTATAAGATACAGTTACAACAAGGGCAGGAGGCGGCGAGGCTAAAAAGGGATCAGTTGTGCCCAGAGCACTGGTGGCAGCAGAGGCAATCTGACCCTGTGCATGCCCCAACACGTGAAGTGATGCGGTGACTGTGATGAAGGGACTAGATGAATGAAGGTGATTGTGGTGATGAATATCACGCGATGCAAGCATGGCAGACAATGGCGTCATGTGTTTTTGGAGAATTCTCAAAGAACAGATTCTGACCCTGTGCATACCCCAACACGTGACGAGATGTGGTGAGTGCAATGAAGGGATGAGATGAATGAAGGTGATTGGGATGATGAACGTCACGCCATGCAAGCATGACAGACAAGCATGGCGTCCTTGTGGGCTGGCAAGGACATTCATGGCAGGCACAAGTATACCTTGTAAAGCGGGGGAACGCCAACATAGACATGGCCGTTCTCAAACAGCGCTCTCTGCTCGCACCATGTGGTCACCATGAGACGTCAGGTGGGTTGCAGAGAGGGAGGGAGGGAGGGAGGGAGGGAGGGAGGGAGGGAGGGAGGGAGGGAGGGAGAGAGAGAGGAGGGAGGGAATTGGATGAGAGCACAGTAGGTTTGGGTTGCGGGAAGGAGAGGCATGCAGGGACATAAATCAAAACAGGGAGCATAACAGACGTTGCAGGGTGAGAAAAGATGCACGTTTGAGGAGACACATAGCACCTGGTAGCGGAAGAGGAAGGTGAGGAGCAGCGTGCGGATGTGAGCGCCGTCGACATCGGCATCAGTGAGCAGAATGATGCGATGGTAGCGCAGTGCCTTGTGATCAAACTCCTCGCCCTGCCACACATGACACAAATGTCAAATAGCAGAGATGCGTTTTAAAACGCCTCAAAGCCCTTTGCTCAAACTCCTTCCCCTGCCACACGTATGTGGCATGTGCACAACAATCACCACCAGAAGCCCACATACTACCATTCTGCACTCGTAAGCTCATATCCTGTAAACCAAAGCCTTCCCTTGTTTAGCCGTCTCTACCTGAAACCATCTACCCCGAGCAGCAGCCCAAGAACGAGGTTCTGCAGTTCCTACCTCTCCACACCCGGCTGGCCACATGATGATAAGGGAGTTCCATCCCAGCCAAACATCGCTTACACTCTCCTATATCCTTACACCACCAACCAGCCCCAGTACTGGGATGCAATTCTGTCACACTCTAGTTCTTGAAGGTGTCTAGCCCTCATAGTTCAGTTCATGTGCCTCACGCACAGCGCAGCCTGCATGCCATGCTTATGCGCCTTCCTCCTCAGAAGGTGGAGTCAATGGCGCCATTGGTGTGTTACCCGGAGGCCGAGCCCTCTTTTGAGACGTCTCAAAAGTCGTTACCCGGAGGCCGAGCCCCAGGCCAAGGATGAAGCTCTGCAGCTGCTGCTCCTTGTACATGGCTGCTCCACGTGACTTCCTTTACCCACAATAGTGCCCATACCTCCAGAATTGGTGCTTGGGCGCCACATGAATGCCCCTACCAGCCCCAGGCCGAGGTCGAACCCTCATTGCTCACCCGGAGGCCGAGCCCGAGGCCGAGGATGAGGTTCTGCAGCTCCTGGTTCTTGTAAATGGCGGCATCATCCTTGCGCTCCACGTTCAGGATCTTGCCACGCAGGGGCAGCACCGCCTGCAGAGGGGAGAGAGAAGAAAGGCAAGCACGGGTGTGAGGGGATTTCTGAGGCGCCTCAAAAGCCGTCCCTGCGCTCCATGTTCAGGATCTTGCCGTGCAGCAGCAGCACGGCCTGGGAGGGGAATGAGAAGAGATGCGAGCAGGGGTGTGGGAGATATTTTAGGCGCCTCCAAGGTCAACTTGCGCTCCACGTTCAGAATCTTGCCCCTCTGAGGTAGCACCGCCTCGGGGGGAAGAGGGGGCGAGCCGGATGGGTAGAGGTATGGGGTGGAGGGGGGCAGGGGAAGGAGCGTGAGGAACGATGGGGAGAATGACAGAGGAGGCATGCGAGCGAAGGAGTGGGAAGGATGGTTGGCCCATGCGGTGATAGAGTAAAGACAGAGGTAGCGAGATGAGCTTGCAGCGAGCAGCGTGCAGGGATGGGGGTTATGGAAGGGAGGGATGCGAGGGAAGGGGGGTGGGGTGGTGACCTGAAGGCGTCTGTCACGGCCCTGCTTGGTGCTGCCACCGGCGGAGTCCCCCTCCACGATGAACACCTCTGGTGGCAGGCGCATGAGAAAACAGGGCAAGAGGGACAGATGGAGAGTGGGCAAGTGCAGGACGCCCTGCTTGCCACTGCCACAATGCATCGGCTGAGTTCCCCCCATTCTGAACACCTCTAATGCCACGCGCCATGGAGTAGTAGTGTGGTGTTTGGCGATGCAAGAACACGGAGGGGGGAATGGAAGGTTGCGAGTAGGAGGACGCTTCTGTGCTGGCTCGAGGATGTGATGCGGCAGAAGACGGTGTGACACTTGCTCTGCACCTTGCTGCTGCCTCCAGCCTCGCTCCCCATTGGCATGGGATGGTGCCTCAGATGGGATGGGATGGAATGGGATGATGAGAGGGGGTGCGATGGCATCACGTCACAATGTGCTGCGCATGTTCAGATGGTGATGTACAGAGCTTGACCCACTCATGCAAGTGCCGTGTGCCCATGTTGCCGCAGCAGATGAGATGCATCACCTGATTGGCTTAACGTGCTGGGGAACCACCTCTCATGTCACATGGCTGCAGCACCATGGGCTGTCCTTAGGCCGAAACACATGGCAACAGATTGATCGGTCCAAGCAAGCGCACCTGACTTGGCGGGGTCATCACACGAGCGCACCTGACTTGGCGGGGTCGTCACACGAGCGCACCTGACTTGGCGGGGTCGTCACACGAGCAGTCCGCCAGCTTGCCCGGCAGCATGGCCGACTTCAACACACTCTTCCGCCGAACCAACTCCCGAGCCTTCTTCGCTGCTTCGGCAGCCTGCCAGGCATGGCAAGGATAGCAGCAGGCGAGGCTGATGGCTGGGGTTGCAGTATTCACATAACTGAGGCTTTGCAGAGCACAGTGAGTCAACGCCACGGTGTCATTACAGAACAGTCGCCGTCCCCGCGAACCAACGAGGACTGCATAGCAACACCGTGGTGTCATCTCTGTCTGATCACATGCATGAGAGGATTGGAAAGTGTCTCATGAATGGAAGGTGCAGCTTTGGTGGCAGCGTTTGCATACTATGTGGTAATGAGCGGTTTCACAGAGGGTGAAGACAACGATGAGTCGTGCCGTGACACCTGATACCTGCCATCGCGAGGACATTAAGATGGGTGTACCATCGGCATGCAGCATGCAGCATGCACCATGCCGCATGGACACAACTGCCTTGACGAATCCCACACCCACCTTATAGGCGTCGAGTGCCTTGGAGAGGATGGCCTCACACGCTGCGGGGTTGGCGTCCAGGAACGCTGCCAGGGCGTCGCTCACCACCCCGTCCACCACCTTACGCACTCCTGGATTGCCCAGCCGCGTCTGATGCACATGCACAAACACATACACACACAGGGGAAGGTGATATGCAAGGGAAAGTGGCGGTACATTTTGAGGAGAGAACGACAGGAAACTATTAGACCTCTGCTTCATTGCCCGCTTTGAGTTGACCCTTGTCTCCCGCACCCTGCTCTCTCACCACACCATCCTCTCTCCCTCCCTGCTCCCCCCTCCCCACCTTGGTCTGCCCTTCGAACTCGGGGTTGGCCACTTTGACGGCCACCACACACGTGAGCCCCTCTCTTAAGTGCTCGCCTGCCAGGTTCTCCTCCTTCTCCTGCCGCTCCGCCCGTGCACAGGGGACAGGAAACGAGTGGGGGTGAGGAGGCAAAGGAGAGAAGAGGCAAGGGAGAGGGGAGGAAAGGGAGAGGGGGAGAGGGGAAAAAAGGGAGAGGGACGGCAGGGGAGAGGGGAGGAAAGGGAGAGCGGAAGGCAGGGAGGGGAGAGGACAGGGAGGGGAGAGGGCAGGCAGGGGAGAGGGAAGGGAGCGGAGAGGGAAGGCAGGGGAGAGGGCAGGGAGCGGAGAGGGCAGGCAGGGGACATAGGAGAAATTGGAGCATCTCATCTGTTCCACTCGCTCTCGGCATGCCTGCTTGTTCCACTCGCTCTCGGCATGCCTGCTTGTTCCACTCGCTCTCGGCATGCCTGCTTGTTCCACTCGCTCTCGGCATGCCTGCTTGTTCCACTCGCTCTCGGCATGCCTGCTTGTTCCACTCGCTCTCGGCATGCCTGCTTGTTCCACTCGCTCTCGGCATGCCTGCTTGTTCCACTCGCTCTCGGCATGCCTGCTTGTTCCACTCGCTCTCGGCATGCCTGCTTGTTCCACTCGCTCTCGGCATGCCTGCTTGTTCCACTCGCTCTCGGCATGCCTGCTTGTTCCACTCGCTCTCGGCATGCCTGCTTGTTCCACTCGCTCTCGGCATGCCTGCTTGTTCCACTCGCTCTCGGCATGCCTGCTTGTTCCACTCGCTCTCGGCATGCCTGCTTGTTCCACTCGCTCTCGGCATGCCTGCTTGTTCCACTCGCTCTCGGCATGCCTGCTTGTTCCACTCGCTCTCGGCATGCCTGCATATTCCCTTCACGTTTCTCAGCAGGCACCCACCTTGAGCAGCCTGTGCTTGCGCGCAGCAGCGTTGAGGGTGCGGGTGAAGGCAGCCTTGGCGCCGTCGATGTGAGTGCCGCCATCGGAGGTGCGGATGCTGTTGGCATACCCCACCACTGCATCGCTGTACGCGTCACCGCTCCACTGCCATGCGACTGCCACCCCCACCCCGTCCCTCTCCTCCTCCACACACTGCGCCTCGTGCATGGGCGTCTGCAGTTCAGGTATGCGCGGACATGCATGCATGGCGGGGAAGGGGTGGGTGTTGAGTGCCGGCTGGCTCAGCTTGTTCAGCCAGTTGAGGCAGCCAAGGACAGTCGTGGGCTCGCCTCGCCTCGGCTCAACGCCATGGCAAGGCAAGCCCATCAGGCAAGGCAAGCTGTGGAAAGTCGGACCTCCTCTCACTTGTACACACCACCTCCACTCTGACCCGCCCCATGTCCACTCACACTCCATGCACACTAGCTCACGAACTGCCGTGTGCATGCCCACCTTCTCGCTGTTGAGCCAGCGCACCTTCTCGCTGTTGAGCCAGCGCACGAACTCCAGCAGCCCGCCCGCAAAGTGGAAGTCCGCTGATCGCCCCGCCTCCTCCTTCAGGTGAATCACCACCTGCGGGGGGGGCACGGGGGAGAAGAGGGGTGGCAGGACGGTGTGTGGGGAGGAACAAGGGGGGATGCAGGCACAGCCACAGAGCAAAGTGGGAGTCTGCTGATCGCCCCCCCTCCTCCTGCAGGTGAATCACCACCTGTGGCAGAGGACGTGGGGGGAGGAGGGTGACAGGAAGGGGCGGGGAAGGAGGTGGATGTATGGGAGAGGAGCATGCAAGCAATGCCAAACTGCCGAGTGGAAGGTCACTGATGGCGTTGCTGCAGCCTCCACACTGCAGCATGGCACGGCCTGTGATCCGAACTCGCACGTGAGACGCAAGCAGCGAATGCTCAGTGGATTCACTATCACTCTCGCAAAAGCTGCACTAGCGTCCGTATGAGGCGTACGTGGTGAGGGGCCTGGCTAGAGCCAGCAGCCACTGCATTGTGGGCTCCCCAGTCAGCATGGGGCAGGGCTGTGCGCTTCATGTGAGAGGGTTTGTGGTGAGTGTGGGGCTCGCATAGGACAGACAGAGGAGAGGCAGACAAGGCCCAAGGGGCAGAGAGGGGCAAACAACGAGGATCTAGGGGCAGAAAATGGAAGAGGGGGCAGAGGGGGACGAAGGGTGGGTGTGCGTGCCTGGGGGTTGAGGAAGGCGAGCTCTCTGAGGCGCGCAGCGATGGTGGTGAAGTCCAGCGCCGTGGTGGTGGTGAACACTGGCAGCAGCACAGGAGAGGAGGGGACGCGGGGACATGGGACAGGGGAATAAGGGTGGGGGTGAGAGCGAGGGATGTCACTGGCAGGGCAGCAATGGTGATGACGTCCAGGTGGTGGTGAACACTGCCAGGCAAGGGGACGAGAGGAGAGGCAGGGACGAGTGGGTACGGGGCACGAGGCAGGGGAATAAGGTTGGGGGTGGGACAGGGGGTGTGAATGGCAGGCATGGTGGTGAAGAGCGGTGCAGGGTGGGATAAGGCCGTCGCCAAGGTGATGGTGGTGGTGAACTCAAGAGAGCAAGGAGGGGATGCTGCGAGAGGAATGGTTGAGCGATGACATCACACATGGTGATGGTGGCGACCAATGCAGGATGCATGGGAGCATGGGCGGAAGGAGAAGAGAGTGATCGAAAGGGGTTATGTGGTGGTGTCAAAGGAGTTTGTGGTGGTGAAACACTGCAGGAAGAGGGAGGGACGAGTTGAAACGGTGAGTGCAGCAAGGGATGGGAGTGCACGATGGATGGCATTCAAGTGCCATGGTGGCTGAAACGGAGGGTGTCATGACTGCAGCATAATCGACGCGAAAGAATGGGAGTGTGGTGAAAGGGGCACGAGCCATGCCCACCAGAACGGATTGCACAAGACTCAATGAACATTCGTGCTGATAGTCTGATAGGCTAGGCAACAATATGAGTACATGAAGCTCTCTAAGGGCGCCACGGCACAAAGAGACGCCGCAGTGCATCAGCGGTTGCAGCACAGCACCTGCGGGGTCGGGCAGGAAGTGTATTTGCGTGCCTGTGCGCTGCGCGTCCCCCTCGTGTGCCCCTGCACCCCCCTCCTCCTCCACCCTCATCCCCCCCACGGGCACGCCCCTCTCAAACCGCTGCGCATACTGCTGCCCGTCCCGCCACACCCGTGCTTCCAGCCACTTCGGGGGGGACATGGGGGTTGGTGTGGGGGTGGGCGGAGCAGGGGAACGGGGAGGGAAGGAGAGGTGGTGGGTGTGCAGTGCGTCTGCGGCCAAGCTTAGAGAGATGTGCTTCGCGCATGCGCGCCGGAAATGGATAGGAGGACCAACGCACATGTGCATGAGAGGCACCTGAGAGAGGCACCTGACTGACTGACATCACAGTGGCGCCTGAGTGGCACCTGAGAGGCACCTGAGTGGCACCTGAGAGGCACCTGAGTGGCACCTGAGTGGCACCTGACTGGCACCTGGGAGAGAGCGTTGACGACCGACACGCCCACGCCATGCAGCCCTCCCGACACGCGGTAACCGCTTGAGTCGCCCCCGAACTTGCCGCCCGCATGCAGCACCTGGCGGGAGGCGAGAGAGGTGGTGTGGCGAGAAAGAAGTTCTTTCAGGTCAACCGAGGTCATGCTGACTTGGTAAGGGAGGTGTCAACCGGACAGGGATGGAAGGGGCGGATGATGGGAGAGGGTGCAGCGGCGCATGCAGGAGGCTGGGAGTGGAAAGATGGGAGGCAGATGAGGAGAGGCGGGTGACTCACTGTGAGCACGGTCTCTAGTGCTGACTTGCCCGTTGATGGATGGATGTCCGTTGGAATCTGCATTGCCCATGGGGACAGTGATTATCATACCCACACGTGGACACACACACGTACACACACACACACACACACACACACACACACACACACACACGCGCACACACACACACATACACAGACAAACAAACCAGACAGGCAACAGACAATGAGTGAACAACCAGGCAGCAACACACACACGAAGGTTCGACAACTGAACCACCGTCCTTGGGACCAACCCTCGTCGCCTGCGATATAGAAAGCCATTCATTCACACACTGCCTGCTCATTGCATTTTCTAACCCACTACGCCCTGCATCCCAGCCCTTCAACCCTGAACCAGAAACCCTGCCCTCATAAACACTCACTCACCCCTTGGCCACGAGCAGTGACGCACACGGACCCGCCACATCACCGAAGAAGCACAGGCAGTGCAGAGGAACGGTCTGGGACTCTAACCCCGTACCCTACACCAGTACGCCCTGCATCCCCCTCCAGTCATTCAGCCAGCCCTGCACCATGAGCCCTGCCCTGACAGTACACCCGCTCGCCCCACGCCTGACGCACACAGAGCGGTTGGGCAGCCAGAAGCACGGGCAGTGCAGAGGCACGGTCTGGTGGCCACAACCCCTTACCACAGTGCGAGCGGCATCCTTGATCCTTCAACTCACCCCGCGGCCGTTGTCAGTGACGCACACAGACCCGTCCGCCCCCAGCAGCACGTCCACCGTGCTGGCATGGCCTGCCTGCGCCTCGTCGATGGCGTTGTCCACCACCTCGTACACCTGCCGTCGCAGCAGCATGCATGGGCAGGGGGGAGGTGGGAGGTGGGGGTTGAAGCCGTGTGGACGCACCTCAGGGCCTCTGCGCCTCGTCGATGGCGTTGTCCACCACCTCGTACACCTGCTCACATGCATGCATGCACGGGGGAGGAGAGGGTGCGCGGCAGACAGAGTTCCACATGTGCTGAGCACCTCACGTCCACCTTGCTGGCATGGCCCGGGGAGGGGAGGTGGGGAGGAGATGGGGAAGGAGGGGGGAAGTGTACGCGGTACAATGGCACGTGGCCATGCGGGAATTCCACAATCTCGCAGGCGCCTCAACTGATGCACTGTGCAGCGCGACTGGTGCAGAGCGGTTGGCTCTCACCAGCTGGTGAAGTGCACTGCAAGGCAGTGGGCTCACTAGGTGGTGCAGAGCGGTGCAAGGCGGTGGGCTCACCAGGTGGTGCAGGCCTCGGGGCCCGGTGCTGCCGATGTACATGCCTGGCCGCCTCCGCACCGGCTCCAACCCCTCCAGCACCTGGCGGGGGGAGGTCGGGGGGGCGGGTGGCAGCACGCACGGCACGGGCGTGATGTGAGTCACAGTGACATGGACAGCGAGTTGAGAGTTGCCAGGGCAAAGGGAAAAAGCTGCCTCAACAACAGAGGCAAGAGGGTATCGTGGGTGGGTGGCAGGGAGGCCCTCATCTCCTCCCCCCATATTCGTCGCCTATCTCTTAACTCTGTCTGCTCCAACCAACAGCACTCCCTCCTGCACCCTTCAGCACTCCCTCCTGCACCCTTCAGCACTCCCTCCTGCACCCTTCAGCACTCCCTCCTGCACCCTTCAGCACTCCCTCCTGCACCCTTCAGCACTCCCTCCTGCACCCTTCAGCACTCCCTCCTGCACCCTTCAGCACTCCCTCATGGCACCGCCTCACCTGAATGTGCTCTGCGCCGTAGCTCCATTTGCTCTTCTTCCCCCCTCTCCCCTTGCCCCGCCCCTCCTTCCCCTCCTCCGCCCCACCAGACGCGCTAGCCCGCACTACTTTCGCGCCACCATCCCTCTCCTCCGCCAACCGCAGCTGCGCGTCCGCTGCGCCGCCCCCCGCGCCGATGGACACCCTTCTTATTGCGCCGATTCCTGCGCCCCTGTCTCCGCCGCGGGCGGAGGCTAACAGCTGTCTGTCTCTTCCACCTATTCCCGCAAGCGCCCTAGGCGCACACAATGAGGCGCGCAAGCTCCGCGCAGAGCTGGGAAGATGAAGGTGGCGCGCGGGGGGGCTGGTGGGGCTGCATACTAGGGCCGCGGGGGGTGAGGGCGGGGGGACACCGCTGGGAAAGGGAAACAGGATGCCGGCACGAGCCGTGGGAGCGAGACGCGCGGCGGTGGCGCGGATGGCGGAGGGGCGGGGGAAAGAGGCGGCGAGCACAGCCCTGCGGTATAGGGCCATGCCCATGGCGGGCTGCAACAAGACGACTAGAGGATTTTTGGAGAGTCAGATAAATGGGTGTAAGTGGTATTATGAGCAGATAGACACGGGTGATATGCCGCCTAAGGAGTGTTGGCGTGAGCCGTGGCGGCAAGAATACGATGATCGATGGATGAGTGTGGGAGAGAATTCAGCATGATCGATGAGTGGAATCTGGGTTTCGGAAAGCATTACCGCTTGGGTTGAGGTGCGCGCGTCCACCGAATTTGTGGGCTGAGAAAAAACACAACAGGTACCACAGTTAGGCCTATAATACACTAAAGAATGTAAAACATCCGCAGTCGTAACTGGAAACATTTCGTTTAGAGTCCGCCACTTGTCGCTACTCCAACCTCGCGTTCGTCAATCTTCTCTTACCTCGCCAACCATGCCACTCTTGTCAGGGCCGGCATGGTTTCGCGCTCGTTTATCCTTGCCCGCACCGTCGCTATCGTGTCAGGAGCGTTGTGACAAACTCGGCTCTCACAGTCCCTCAGCTCGGGGCATTGAGACTGCGGCCTTGAAAATCTGAAGACTTCCACCTCACGCTGCCCATTTCGTAGATTCAAATCTGAGTTCACGTACCGTATCCCCGACCCTGGACCAAGCATAGCAGAATCGCCGGGCCAGACATGGCAGAGGCGTCGAATGGCGAAGCACCACCCCAGCAGCAGACCTCACAATCCGTTGGCGACCCTTTCTCTGCCTTCTCCGACAACCTGCTTGGCGCCGTGCTGCTGCGCGTCGCGTGCAACGGCGTCAGATTTGTCGCCCAGGATCGTCCAATTACCGACGAGGAAGAAGCCGACGCGGAAAGGAAGGTCGACGACGCCCTCCTTGAGCCGCTCCCCTCTGAAAGCGCCTGGCTCGCCGGCAATCCCAAGGCTTCCGGCGAGGCCATGGATGGTCGTTCTTCCGGCGTGAAGTGCTCGTCGTCGCTGGTGTAGTTCCGCCACGCGCTCGTCTGCAACCGCTGGTTGCGCGTCGCCCGACTCGTGCATCCCGCCATCGTCGTTCCGCTCGACCGCTTCTTCTCCGCGCGCGCCCTCGCGTCCCTCCTCCGCGCGCCCGCGACCGCGGGGTTCCCCAACCTCCGCCACCTGCACTTCGCGCCGAACGCGCTGGACACCGTCGATTCCGCGCTTGTGCGCGCCATTTGCGGCGGATCTGGGCCGTCCTTAACGCATCTCACGGTGCAGCTGCACGACGGCTGGCTGCACGTTACGCGCGCGCGACGGTACTCTTTTCGCGGGATCGCCGCACAGGCGGCGGCGGCGGCGGAAGCGGCGCTAGCGGCGGGGGCCATCTCGCCGGCCGATGTCGCCCCCTTGTTCTGCTCTTGCACGCGATTGGTCAGTCTCGACGTGACCTTTGGGAGAGGGATTTCCGACGGTCCCGCGGTCGTCAGTTGCCTGCAGCAGCTCACGAAGCTTCAGCATGTCATTTGACGAAGATGTTACCACGTTACCAGCGGAGATCGGCAGTTTGGTGCGACTGAAGCGGTTACAGATCCGGTCAACTTCCCTTGTGCTGCCCAACTCTTTTTGCGGGCTGTCTGCCCTGGAGCACGTCAGCTTGCGGGGCTGCGATTTTTCCCATCTGCCCAGCGACTTCGGGCAGCTCCGAAACCTCAAGAGCCTCACTCTCAAACTTCTGATGCAGCTCGTCGAGCTGCCAGCCTCCATCTGCCTCCTCTCGGCGCTTACCAGTCTGACCATCGAGCACTGCCACGAGCTAGCAAAACTGCCTGAAAACTTTCATCAGCTGCCGAATCTGCGCACCATCCACCTTGGAGCACTACTTGCCCTCTCTTCCCTCCCAGAATCTTTTGGTCGGCTGCCCGCGCTGCGTGACCTGAAAATTCTAGAGTCTCAAGCACCTCCCACCGTCGCTCTCTGCGAGCAGCACGCTGGAGCGCCTCTCTCTCAACGACTGCCAAGCGCGCTTATCCCTGCCGCACGCCATCGGCCACATTCCCACCCTGGCACGCGTCGATCTCCTCTTTCTCGACGCCCTCACCGCGCTTCCCGACTCCCTGGGATGCACGCCGCAGATGCGCAAGCTGAAGGTCATCCACCCTCGCCCGCCTCACTCTCGATGGCTGCGCCGCGTGTGCGCTGCCCGAGGATTTCAGGCAGCTGTCGAATCTGGTGTGGCTGTAGCTGTCCTGCGATCAACTGACCGCCCTGCCCAGGTTGTTTGGGCAGCTGGGGAAGCTGCAGGAGCTGAGGCTCCACGCCTGCTACGGGCTACTCGAGCTGCTCGCGTCATTCACAAATCTCTCATCGCTTGAAACCCTAGCCATCTACGGGGGAACGTCGCTCATCTCTCTGCCACCCTGCCTCCAGCACCTCCTGCAGCTGCGCCGCCTGGAGCTCTTCAACTGCGCCATGCCGAACCTGCCGGAGAGGTTCGGGCAGCTGCCAAAACTAGAGATTCTCAAGGTGGGGAGCAGGGAGAGTTACAGAAGGAACGGCGTGGATCCAGAGCAGCCCGCGTCACCTGCTTGCCCCATGGGGCCCTCACCGGCCACACTGAATGAACCGCTCTTGGGCCGCTGCCTGCTGCACAGCTTCCCGGCGTCTTTCTCCCAGCTCACGTGCTTGCAGCAGATGGTCATCGACGGCTGTGACGCGCTGGACAGCCTGCCAGAGGCGCTGGGACGGCTAGCAGCGCTGCAAGTGCTGCACGTGAAGAATTGCCCGCACCTGCGCTGCTTCCCCTCCCTCCTGCCCGCTTCTCCTCCCACCTCCACCTCCACCTCCTGCGCTGCTGCTGCTGCTGCTCGCCCCTCTCCGCTCCCAATGCTTCACAGCCTGGAGATTGCCAAGTGCCCTCGCCTCATAAGCCTGCCGGACGGGCTGCACGCTGGAGCGCATCACACAGGACGACTGCATCGCCCTGAGCTCACCCGACGACTGGCTCTCGCTCACCGTACCACTCACCCTCCCCCCCTCCATCACCGCCATCTCCCTCTCAAGCGTCTTTCTCCAGTCCCTCTACCTCCCACCCTCCTTCCTCTCCCTCACACGCCTCACCCATCTCAACCTGAATGAACTTCTCGGTTGCAGGCGCTCTTTGCTCCTCCCAGCGGCGCCCCACCGGAGGACCTACTGGGCGACTGGGAGGCGGGCACAGACACCCATCCCATCTTTGGCTTCCGCATCGACCCCCACCCCGGTCCGCCCGCCAGCCTGGCGTTCCTCTCGTCCCTGCAGCACCTTGCCATCGTGCAATCCGGGCTGCCCTCACTGCCTAGCAACCTGAGCGAGCTGAGAAGCCTCAGAGCACTCATTGTCGAGGACTGCCCTGTTATCACCTCCCTCCTGCATCCCTAGCCCACCTCTCCAACCTTGAAGAACTCGTGGTGAAGGCCCTCCCACAGCTGGCGCGCCTGCCCAAGAATCTCGGGCAGCTGAAAGCCCTGAAAGAGCTTAGTGTGGAGTTCTGTGACGCGCTGATGGGGCTGCCTGCGTCCATGGGCCTCCTCTCCTCCCTCGTCCTCTCCATCACCGAATGCAACAAGTTTTCCTCCCTCCCTGCCTCCATGGGCTCCCTCACCCGCCTCGCCTCCCTCAAGCTCAACTGCCTTCCGCGCCTGCGCCGCCTGCCAGAGTCCCTCTCTCGCCTTCCCGCCCTCGTGATCCTCTCACTGGAAGACTGTGAGGAGCTACAAGCACTGCCGGAGGGGCTGGCGGGTGTGGGCAGGTTGAGGGAGGTGATGGTGGCGGGGTGCTGCAAGCTCAGCTATGCGCCCCAGTTGCTGCTGGCAAGGCAGAACGTGATTGAACTCCAGGGCCTTCGGTGAGGGGATGGATGGTTGGGAGGAGTAGCAGAAAGGATAGGTGAAGGGAGGGAGATTCTAGGAGGCAAGTGTGGATTGCTGGTGTTGGTAGGTTTTTTTTGGATGGTACCGTATCGCCCCGGATATAACCGCAGGCCTATATTAAGCGCATGCGCTTCTATCTGGAGCAATGCGCTTATGGCCGATACTCAATTAGAAGCGCACCCTCTAAAAATGTTGAGAATATGTTTGTATGCTTTTATTATAAGTGCACTGTTCGAAGTGTGCTTACAGGGGCTCGCCACAGCGAGGGATTTGAACCTGGTGGCGGGCCGCAACCGAACACAGCGGTTGCGACCCGCGTGGCAGCTCAAGAGTCGAATCGACAGCAGGAGTCATCGTCTACTGTACGCGAAACTGACCTGTGGGGCGCAGCAGGATACCGCGCCCTTGCCGAAGCTGAAAAGTCTCGCCAGCGCGACTGTAACAAGGCAACCCAAGCGACGCAGCGCAACTGTATAACAGTTGCGCCTTGGTAAATGTTTGCCCTATGCGTTTGCTATATAACAGAATGTAATGTCTTGCTCATATTACACAATTCTCAAGCTTGTGTCCGGCCTACACTCGGCCGCTGCTTTGGCACCACGTTACAAGCCAGGAGAGCTACCTCTGAGTGACCAATAGCCCCGCCGTAGGGACGTCGTTAATTCCTAGAGCTTCCGCTGCGCTCTAGCGACTTCTTATTTCCAACATGGTATCAGAGCAAGAGTTCCAATCCTTGGAACCTGTGATAATTTCTACAAATGGGCCCACCACCTGAATCATCACCAGGAGCATCTTCAGGAGCAGGTTCGACCTGCCACTTCCCACGGAGCATTACGTGGAGGAAATCTTCAACGCACCGTCGCATCATTTTGGGCGACTCAGCAAGACGAATTTCAAGGAGTTACAGCAAAGTCCCTGGCAAGGACTTCACAACTTCAACCCGGCAAAATTGCAACTCTCCTCGTTTCTACACTTCTAACAGTGGAGGGGAGTGTTGAGAATATGTTTGTATGCTTTTATTATAAGTGCACTGTTTGAAGTGTGCTTACAGGGGCTCGCCACACCGAGGGATTTGAACCTGGTGGCGAGTCAACGGGCCGCAACCGAACACAGCGGTTGCGACCCGCTGTCAAATTATAATATTGTGTAGGCTATAGTGGGGTAGCCCATATGGGGTACACATTTCTAGGGTTGCATATTTGTATCACTTCCATTCCTTAGTCATTCATTCTCGTTCTACTTTCCTTATGGTATCGAGCAGGTTCCCCCGTGGGAACTGTGCCTAGGGCCCACCACATCGATCTTTTTTTTCCTGCCCGAAGCGCGCTCAGCCCGAGTCGCGCTCCGGGCTCTCACCTCTTCGAGCCGCCCTTCTCAGCGGCCCCGCCGCCCTTCTCAGCGGCCCCGCCGCCCTTCGCTGCGGCCCCGCCGCCCCACATTGCGGCCCCGCCGCCCTTCCTCGCGGCCCTGCCGCCCTTCGCTGCGGCCGCGCTGCCCCTCGCTGCAGCCCCGCCGTGGTTCGCTGCGGCCCCGCCGCCCGTCTCAGCGGCCCTGCCGCCCTTCTTCGCGGCCTCGCCGCCCTTCGCTGCGGCCCCGCTGCCTCACGTTGCGGCCCCGCCGCCCTTCGCCGCGGCCCCGCCGCCCGTCTCAGCGGCCCCGCCGCCCGTCTTAGCGGCCCCGCCGCCCGTCTCAGTGGCCCCGCCACCCGTCTCAGCGGCCCCACCGCCCTTCACTGCGGCCCGGCCGCCTCTCTCGCTGCGGCCCCGCCTGTGAAGAGGAGTTCTTAGTATGAAGGCTTAGGAGCCATAGTAAATTGGGTAGGAGCGATTGAGCTCGAGTGAGTTTAGGAAAGTCGAGAAGTTTCAACAAAAAGAGGGGTTTCACTATAGAGCGAGGAGTACAAATAGGCAAGAAGAAAGGTGCACCACCAAAACAGAACATTATATAACTACAGTAGTCTACACTACAGGCAGTTACAAAAACAATATATAGAAATATATATATTATTCTTGACACGCCCCCATAAGTGCCTGTAGGGAAGAATATGCAGTCAACGCCCCCATAATGGGGTACACCAGTCAGGCCGCAGCAGAAATCATAGCAACAGGCAAGTGCAGTGGTAACCAGTGCAGTGATAGCAGATCCAGCTGTACCAACCCCTTTACCAAGGTAAAACAAAAAGTAGCAGGTGTTGGGGCGGCAGGGCGCCTGAGGAGCAGGCTCTGTGGCTGCAACATGCAGCAGGACAGCAGCGGCTCGACGGCAGCACCTGCAGGCCCCAGAAGTAGGTAGCAGAAACAAAAGGTAAGGTAGGTGGTAGCAGGGGCGGCAGCTGGAGGTGCCACGGCAGCAGCGGGCGTCAGCAGCAGATGACCGGCTGACTTCCGTCGCCCCCTCACTCCCCCCCCACAGCGGCACGTGCGGCAGTGAGAGAGAGAGGAGGGGCGGCAACTTCTTGCTCACACCCGCCTCCCCAAAACCTCCCCCCCACACTGCCGCACGCGCAGCAGGGAGAGAGAGGGGACGGTTTGTGACGGCTCAGCTGTGTGGCACAGCAGCGAACAGAGGGGCGTCAGCCACCCTCGCGCCTCCCCCTCCCCCCCCCCGCCACACCTTCGTCCACAGCGGAAGACACGGCAGCGGGCTCGGGTGGCGTTGGTGAGATATCGGGTAGGGGGGGGGAGTAACGGTGGGGTGCAACAGGTGCCTCGACGAGCGCCTGCGCACAGCTCGCCGTCGCTTGCGTGGCAGCTGCTGTGGTAGCAGCCGCATGCTCGACGGGAGGGCGGGGCAGGGGGCGCGTTCGGCGGCTGAAGTAGCTCGGCCGCCACACCCGCCGTCTCCCCCCAAAGCGACCGTCGATGCAGACGCTCGAGGCCGCGACAGGGCATGACGAGCAGGCGACGGGGCCGCCGACTGGGGCCGCGACGAACAGAAAGAAGCCCGCCACGCTCGACTTCAGAGCCTTCACGACTAGCGGCTGAACGGGCACTTTTGGGGCCACGACGAGCGCCATGGCAGGAACGATAAGCGGTGGGCCCATTGAAAAAAAAAAAAAAAAATCAGGTCCTAGGATAGGAACCTCACTCTGATACCATGTCAGAATCCCAACCACTAGACCATTGGGATAAAAGGGCTTGTTTCAGTAGCGGGTCAGTGCGCCCATAACCCCCCAGGCAAACGCGCCTGTAACCCCCCCTAGGATCGATCGGGGATCTCACAGTGTAGCTCTACTGACACCCCCCCACACTGGGAGGCCCAGGAATAAGCACAGCGGCAACGGCCTACATGTGCATACACCGGGAATCGAACCCGAGACCGCTCTGATACCATGTGAAGAGGAGTTCTTAGTATGAAGGCTTAGGAGCCATAGTAAATTGGGTAGGAGCGATTGAGCTCGAGTGAGTTTAGGAAAGTCGAGAAGTTTCAACAAAAAGAGGGGTTTCACTATAGAGCGAGGAGTACAAATAGGCAAGAAGAAAGGTGCACCACCAAAACAGAACATTATATAACTACAGTAGTCTACACTACAGGCAGTTACAAAACAATATATAGAAATATATATATTATTCTTGACACCGCCGCCCTACTAAGTGGCCCCGCCGCCCTTCACTGCGGCCCCGCCGCCTCTCTCGCTGCGACCCCGCCGCCCTACTCAGCGGCCCCGCCGCCCTTCACTGCGGCCCCGCCGCCTCTCTCGCTGCGGCCCCGCCGCCCTACTCAGCGGCCCCGTCGCCCTTCTACTGCGGCCCCGCCGCCCTTCTCAGCGGCCCCGCCGCCCTACTCAGCGGCCCCGCCACCCTTCTACTGCGGCCCCGCCGCCCTTCTCAGGGGCCCCGCCGCCCTTCTCAGCGGCCCCGCCGCCCTTTACCAGCGGCCCTGCCGCCCCTTCACTGCGGCCCCGCCGCCCCTTTCACCAGCGGCCCTGCCGCCCTACACCGCCCGCGCCGCCCGAGCCGCCCGAACCGCCCGAGCCGCCCGACCTGCCCGAGCCGCCTGAGCCGCCAGAGCCACTCGACTCTCCCGAGCCGCCCGAGCCGCCCGACCAGCCAGAGCCACCCGAGCCGCCCGAGCCGCCCGAGCCACCCGAGCCGCCCGAGCCGCCTGAGGAGCCGAGCCGCTGGTGCCACGGAGCCGCAGTTGCTGCTGTGCCGTCCGAGCAGCCGTGTTGCCGTGCAACTGTACTGCTGAGCTGCCCGACCCGCCCTGTCTGGTGAGAGCAGCACTTCTGTCACTGCACTGCCCCTGTCCTACAGTTGGTACTGCTAGTCTACTGCTGTCATGGCTACCCCCAGTGTTCTCGCTTTTGACGCTGAGGGTCGAGCCATTGACTTTGAGGTTTGGGTAGATGACCTGCAGCTTTTCCTACAGTGCGATAGGGCAGACGCTCTCTCCCTCTTTGACCTCACCTCTGGTGCTTCCCCTGCCCCTGCTGCCGATGCCGACGCCACTGTTCTCTCACAGTGGGCCACTCGCGATGCTGCTGCACGTCTTGCTGTGCGTCGCCTGCCTACCACTGAGCGCGCGCACTTTAGTGAGTACAAGAGTGCTCAGACCTTGTACGACGCTGTAGTTGCACGCTACTCTTCCCCTGCCACTGCTGCACTGAGCCGCCTCATGCTACCGTACCTCTTTCCTGACCTTGCTGCCTTTCCCACAGTCGCTGACCTCATTACGCACCTCCGCACTAGTGACACTCGCTACCGCGCCGCGCTTCCTGCTGAGTTCTGCGCCAAGAACCCCCCCCCCCCCCCCCATATACATCACTCTCTATTATATAGTCACCCGCCTCCCTGACTCCCTTCGCGTAGTCAGGGACCACTTTCTCTCAGTTTGTCCCACCACTCTCACTGTTGACCTCCTAGAGAAGGCCCTCCTAGCAGCGGAGAAGAGCATAGTCGTTGTAGGAGCCTCTCGTGGTGACCCTCGCACCCCCATCTTTGAGGGGTGTTCCCCTTCCCCCCTGTTGCCCTCTGACG